CTAGGAATGGATGTGTGCACTTTGCCACCAGCTCTGATTTTCCAGGACAGATACATTGATATCTGCAAATTCCCAGGTCAGCAAGCGTGCTGGGAACTCAACCTAGTTCCCAAGGCTGCTGAGAACTCAACCTAGAGTGCAAACTTGTTGTCTAGGACCCAAGGAAAGGAAAGGGAACTTTGCAATCCACTGACAGCAAACATATTGAACAGTGACCCACACATTTGCAGCTGCCTTGGCTTCATCCATCACTGCTGGGAGGATGGAGTGTGGGTTGAAGCCCTTTGAGGAGAACCACCAGACTTGCTAAGAAGTGTTTCTTTCATGCCATTTCCTGTATCTCATATCAGAGAAGAAAATTAAACCCAGCCCTTGTGACCTTCATGTTCTTTTCCTTACAATGTCTGGGTCAAAGCTATTGTGTGCCTGCTGTAAACTGAGAGTTTAAATTTAAGAGCCTTTGCTGAGACTTAGTGAGAAGAGATGAGGTGGTAACGTGATCATGTGGCCCAACTGATTAAATGACCCCCAGAAGTCTCCCGCCCGCATCAGGCAGGGGTCAGTACCCAACTCAGTGTGGGGTGAGGTGAGACACCCTGCATTACAGGCTTCAGGACCTCATAAAAGCCCTCCACGCTGGACCACACCACCGGATCAACCAGAAAGGTGTTTGCCTGAGTGCTGGGGCTTCTCTCTCACCAGAAATTATATCCAGCTCCCAATCATCCCAGACAGAGGAATGTAGTCAGGCATGGAAAATCTAAAGTAGTAAATCATTTAAAAATGTATGTGCCCTTTGCTTTCAAACACTGAATGCTTTTTTTAAAGGGTGCAGGAGCAGAGAAAAGAGTTCCTAAAGTATCCTGGTTTTTCTAATATTAAAAATATTTTAGGATGAGCCTGCAAGGCATTCAAGTGGCCACAGGGGAAGAGGCTAAAACCTGGAAATCTCCAAAGAATTATAGTCAAATCTTTCAATAATCAGAGAGGATATCTTTTGTCCTGTCCACCATCCTCCCCTCTGTATGACAGCAGAGCCTCTTCCCCCTGGGGACGATGCTTTGCCTGGAGGTCAGGCCCCGGTCCCGTCCCAGTTGTCACACAAGTGGTTCAGGGTTGGGTACGGGGCCTGAGCTGAGCCAAACATGTTCCTTCTAGAGCGGTTCCTGCTGGCAGCACTAAAGGGCCATGCCTGTCAGAGCACACAGTGTACAAGACACAACCCTTCCAGAAGTTGGATACATTGGTGTGCAACTCCTGAGAGGTCAACTCTCAGGCAAGTGTGGAAGATAGAATGAGTTCCACAGACGCAAGAAAGAGTGACAGGGTCAGTGCAGCAGCAGTGGAATGATGAGGGACAGGAGGGACCAACGCAGGTGGTGGTGCAGGGGCGGCAGGTAAGGGGCACAGTTATAAGGAGGAGAAGGGACCAGGGAAGGAGACAAGGCACAGCCCAGGATCAAAATAAAGGGCTCGGTGGTAGAGTGCAGAGGGATGGTGGGGTTGAAGTACAATTTTGTGATGCAGTGGGCAGGACAGACTGAAGGGTTAGCTGGTGGCTGCAGGAGGGGAAAGGACGGGTGTCATGACAAAAGAGTTAAAACTCTCAGCACCCAGACTTCCTCCATAACAGGTTTCTGCTCAGCTTGTACCAGGCAGTCATAAAGCACTGCACTGCGGACTAACAAGAGCATGAGATAAAAGTAAATACAAAAACCATCCTTTCCTCCCCTGAGCTAATATGCGCTTTCACAAAAAGGTTAAAGTACACAGATACCCTTATCTATATCTAAAGAGCCTTTGTTTGTGAGGCCTAAGCCAGAGGCCTTGACAATTTGCAAGTTCGATGTACACCTTCAGTTACCAAGCAGGTGTTCCTGAAAGATAACGTAGGGAAGGACTCCCTGGAAAATGCATTTCTAACTCAGACCCTTACAAACATCTTCATTCCCTTATAAAAACCCTGGTGCCTCACCCTGACTTCGATTCCTCCTTCGGAAACTCCCCTGCTGTCCCTCTTGACAGCGTGCTCAGTGACCTAAACAAACTCTTGTCTTTATTCCTTGTGTATTGGTAAATTCTTTTGTGGTCCATGTCACCAGCCCTCTGTATGCTGTCTCGCACAGCAAAAGGGTCACAAAAGAGCAACCGAAGAGTGCACCTATAGAGGGGTGACCGTAAGTGCGGGTGGGGACAAAAGGTGAGCCTTGTGGTGGCCACGTGCAGCACAGCATGGCCATGTGACATCCAAGCAGCCGCGTCCGTAGGAAGTCAGTCAGATACATCACTGTGAAACTCCTGGAGGAGGTCCAGGCTGGTGCTGTAGATTTGGACATCACTGGCTTCAGATGGCACCTGAAGTCCTAGAATGGGATGGAATCACTTAGAGAGGATGAGGAGAGAAGGAAGCCCCCCATCCCAAAGGAGGAGTCACAGGGCTGAAAGGAGAGGCCAAGGAGGAAGGGGAGGAGGGCAAGGTATGGTCTGGAGGCCAAGAGAAGAGGCATTTCCAAAGGAGCAGCACCTGATGAGCCCTGCAGGATTGTCCCTGAGAGGCGGCTGCTCGGTTGGGTACATGTAACTCACTGGTGACTTAGACAAAGTCAAAGGCAGCAGGGGAAGATTTGGAGCAGAAAGTCACTAAAAATGGCTGAGAAGTTACCGTGACTTCAGAGAACTCTTCCCCAACATGTTATGTTGTCTTCTTTGATTGCATCATGATGTGGTGGAGTCCTTGTTCTTACACCCTTGGAAATGGAGGCTTAAGTCCATGAGGTCAGTAAGGGATGGAAGTGGCTTTTGACTCAGAGTTTGAGCCTCTAACCAACCATTTTTCTCCACTCCCAGCACTTTCCAATCCCATGCTGCCTGGGGGAAGGAGTAGCCACATAGGGGCATTACTGGAGGAAGAAATAAAACAGGTTGGCAGCGAGTCCTTCCTGGCCCACAGCTCCTCCACAGCGTCTCCACAAGGATGACATCACCCGTGCCAGCTCAGGCGCAGACTGGGCAATGCTTCTTCAATCTCTCCTTTAGGAATTCCAAAGTCAGCCTATCTGTCATCTCCTTATCTTAAACAAACTGCCCCCAGAGTCTTAAAAGAACAACAACTACATTCCAGAGGCTTCGATTGTGCCTGTGGAATTCAGACATCCCAGGAAAGGCCTTGAAACGCCTGGCAGCGAGCATGATGGAGACTGGAGAAGTTGTGCTTTATACACAGCCCGGAGCCCATAACCCAAGATCGTATCAGTGCCACACCACCCGCCTGAGCTTGCTCACAAGCAAGAGAGCCAGTCAGAGAGGTGCCCCAGGGACACGAAGTGTGGGCCAAGGACCCGACTACATGCTGTTCTAGGAGGAACTGCAGGCTTATTCTTTTTCTCTATAAACTGCTTCACAGGAAACATGAGGTTTATTCTTATTAGTACATGTTTGCAAAACATGCACTTTACATCATCTTGGAGAGCTGGTTCATGTACTAATACAACAAGTTTCTTTTTCTAATCCCTTTCCCTCCCCACCCCTCCCTCGTCTAGTCCCCCTTCCCCTTTTCACTCTTGTCAATATTGTTAATCTTAGTCCGTGTGTATGGTATATGATGTGCACATTCACTGGAGTTATTGGGGCCTTGCACCTGGCATCTCTTCACTTTATCTTTTTCCCTATCCCTTCCCCTCACCCCTTGCCCTTAGTCCCCTGGATCCCTTCCTATCTGCAAGACAGTTTTCTTTTTTGTAAAAAATGAGCTCAATAACAGTATCAGAGAAGTCTCATCTCCTTGAGCTGAAGTTTCTCAAACACAAAATGAGCTACAAAGTCTCAGTCTTTGTCTTTTTTCCCCTAGTGTGGTCTCCTTGTTCAAAGCCGAAGTTTGCATGGAACGCCAATAAACTGGCATCAGTGTGAGCAGTGTGTGCCATCCCCACCTAAATCAAGGGGTGCCTTGGCAGTTTTAATAAGCCTATGTGCAAAATCCAGTGCTCTCCCCAGATATAAAGCGAGGGCCATTTGCAGCTGTACCCATAAACATGGCAGCCTCGGGCTGGCAGAGAAGCCAGCTACTTTGAGCACCCTGATGGTGGAACCCAGTACGGCCAGCACAAGTGGCGTGGCCCACAGCTAAGTGTGAGGAAGGAGGTGCTTGCAGAAGATGCAAAGTCAGCTAATGTGAGAAACAGTCCCTTTGATGGGAAACTGTGTGGTTTCCTCTAGGAACTCGTTAATACGCGCTACTCTCCTTGTCCAGGCTGCAAGTGTTCCCAGCCCCCTCAAGGAGGCTCAGTGCCCCTTAACCTCCTCACAGAGCCTGAAGCCACAGGCCAAGAAATTACCAGAACGAAGGGGCAGAACCTCTCCCTCCTCTTTTATGCAAGTAGGTGGCTGGGAGCCAGCAAGGCCTAGACCACGACTTGCAGGGGTAAAGTGTGTGGGGGGGTGTCTTCTGGAGAGAAAATGAGGTGGGGAGGGTGGCATTGGGAGTGCCTCTCTGGAGAGGGAAGGAGTTTGGCAACGCACTGGAGACACAGGAGCTAGAGAGAGGGCAGCCATTTTCCCGCCTCCCGCCCACACTGAGGCCCACTTGGTGCTTTGAACTTTGAGTAGAATCTCTACACTGTGGCTCTGCCCACAAAGAGGAGGCCCGGGTCTGCTGCCCAGGAAGAAGCCATGTGCTTTTCCTGCAGCTGTCCTTGGGAGGCCACTGCAGGAGATGGAGCTGAAGACCGTGGCTCTGCCCTCCCCATCACAGGGGATCCTAGGCACTTGCCGCTGAGCTGCAGGACCAAGGGTGGTGGCAGACACTGGGGACCAAAACGAGGGGCCTTGCCCTTCTGGAACACACTTGGAGAAACGCCAGCTGAACAGTAGGTGCCGCAACCTTGACCCTCGATGACCATGGACATTAGAATTCTTACAGAGGGGCGGCCTGGGCGGATACAGTTGCCATAGCGGCAAGAACACAGCAGGTAAAACATAGGCTCTAGGACCAGGCTGCCAGAGATGAGTCCCAGCTCAGCCACCTACAGCTTGGTAGCATTGGATGAGTTCCTTGGCCTCTGAGAAAGGCAGAGAACTATGTCACAGAGTTGCTGAGAATTCAGTGAGTTCAGTGGTTGCTTCCACTACCTCTGATGGACTCTTCTAGTGGTGCTCCGTTGCCAATAACATGAAAATGATGCCAGCCACGCCTTCCAGCATTAATGTAAGTGGATCTAGAGCCTTCATTTCACCTAACAGGAGAAAAGCAAGGGATCCTGGGGTTGTTAGGGCTGACTCAGAAGTCTCACTTTCCCCACAGAGCCATGGTAGCTGCTTAGTGATAAAGGTTGTAAATTCCGGTAGTTCTGAGTCACAACACCTGCATACCTTCTTCCCGCCATATCTGTGGCACACTGCTATCAAATCTGTGGATGCTCATATTCCTATAGAAAATGCAGTACAGATCTGGGCGTGGTGGTGCATGCCTGTAATCCTAGACTCAGGAGGCTGAGCCAGGAGGACTATGAGTTCAAAGCCATTTTGGGCTAATAGCAAGGCCCCGTTGGAAGGGTGAAAGGGAAGGAAAGAAGAGGAGGGAAGGAAGGAAAAGCACTCTATTTGGATAAAATCTACACACATCCTCCCACATGCTTTAAACCATCTCTAAATTATTTATACTTACTACAATAAAAAGCTAGGTAAATGGTTGTTATGCTCTATTAGGGCACAGTGACATGAAAAAGAGTCTATATATATTCAGTGCAAATGCAATGTTTTCGAGAATATTTTCCATCTGCAGTCAGTCGGTTCTGCAGATGTGGAACTTGTGGATACAAGGGGCTGACTATCTGAGTCACCTGGAGAGCTTTGAGCACTGTGGATGAGTTAGAAAATTCTGCGTTGGGAGAAGTCTGCACATCAGGATTTTTGAAATTCCCCCGGTGATCATATATGTCACCAAGGTTGCGAACCTACAGCTAGAGAGACTCAAACATGCTGATGTGACTCTTAGTCATTATTTGCTCTTCTCGGGTGGCCCCGGGCATTAGATTTTTTAAATACCGAAGGTGCTTCTAATGTGCAGCCTGGACTGAAAGAATCCCATGGTTCTCAAAGCAGTGTCCCCCATGGCAGCATCAGTGTCCCCTGGGAAACATTCACAATAGGCACATTTCTGGGCGCTTCCAGGGTCACTGACTTAACTGTGATCTTTGGTGCTGTAACACAGTCGTAGCAGGGGGACGTACAAATGAATATGTATCTACAAATTGCAATTCTTTCTTGTCTAGGTTTTTTTTATAAATAGAAAATAGGAGGATTCGTTTCTCAATTCCTTCTACCCCCTTTTCTAGAGCAAAGCTCACAGTTTTAATAAAAAGAAAGCAAACAACAGAAAACATTTCTTAGTCTTGTAGAAATGTAGAAGTATCACTGGAAGACCTGACTTACCGCTACTAACAGGTAGAAGAATGTTCAGCAGAACACAGACTTGTTGCCCACCCCTCAGCCCTCAGATGACTTGGGGAAGAAAAAAGGAGGGTTGGGGAAAAGCACAAATGCAGAGGTCTGAGGGTTCTGACCCAGTTTCACGCTTGCACCATTTTCCAGCTCTGGGCTGTTTCAGCTGCCAGGCCTGTCTAAACATGTGCAGTGCATCTGGCATTTCAAAATTTTTAGTGTCAAACTAACTGTCGTGGAGCTCGGGCCAGACCCTTTTGGTAACTAGGCAACAATCCCAAACCATGTGTAACAAGAAGGCCAAGCCAACGTGTAAAATCCTGTTTTGGGTTCCTCTGTTGCCGTATTACCTTTTGAGACACTATAATGAGAGCTGGAGGAGGCAAGGAGAAGATACAGAGAACGACCATGGACAAAGTTCAGGTAACACCGTAAAGTCTGAAGGCCAACGTGACCTGCAGCCATGTCCAGGATTGCTGCATCTGTAGACTGAGGCAGGGAGAGAGGCCTCTTCTTGCCTTCCCCCAAGCCCCGTTTCCCACAAGTCCCAGGAGGGGCTCCTGGGAGGGAACGGACTAAGCTGTGTGATGATACACCCCAAGTCTCATGTTTCACAAAAATCACGATGAAAGCAGATGGTGATGACGCCTCTTTAGGGGTGCAAACATTTTCTTTGAAGGGTTACTTGAAAACATTCTGTAAAGCAGAGCTACTTAAAAGGGATTTCGACCCAGGAGCTCGTGTGTTGACAGGGAATGTGCCTGGAAAACAGTCCTTGGGCCCTTTTGATACCTGCAGCTGTCTGCCCAATGGTGAGGAGGCTGAGAAGAGGTGGGCAGGAAACAGGCAGTCGCCATACAATCCCTGTCCTCACAGGTCACAGGTGATCGTCACAGAGATACCCCTGCACCCCCGAGGATGAGGAAACAGGTAGCTCCTGAGGAGAACATTACAATGTTAATCCAATTAGAGCATCTTGAATAAAGCCTGTATTCTCAGCTAGTCAGAAGGCTGAGGCAGGGGAATTACAAGTTCAAAGCCAGTGTGGGCCATTTAACAAGATCCTGTCTCAAAATTTAAAAAAGTAAAAAGGTCTCAGGATATTGCTCAGTCCCAAGACCCTGAAGTCAATTCCCAATGTTGAAAAAAATAAATCAATTCAAATGTTCTCACCTCAGAGATTCTGATTCAGGAGGCCTAAGGAAGGACCTGAGCATCTCTTAAAGACAGTTCCAGATGGAGCTGATGGTTGGAAGGCCTCCCTTTGAGAAGTATGACTGTGTGTGAATTCTGCACAACCACCTCCCAGCACCTAAGAGGACAACCCAACATCTTGGTGTTTCCCATGCCACTCCACCTTGGGTGGAGAATGAGGCATCTACAAGGACCTTCGTCACTTTCCTTACCGTAGATGTCTCTTTGGTTCTGGTAAGGCGTTCCCCAGTCTCCCTAGAGTGGGGAGGACACCCTCCTCTTCCTAGGATGCCTGTTACCTAAAGGAACACAGCTCCTCTCTGCCCTGCCAGGAAACAGCCCTGAGAGCCACCCCATCCGAGAAGGATCGCAGCCACGTCCTTGGGGCATGCATTTCCACCTGTCTCCACATGGACCCTCTGATGTTGAAGCTAAGCTTTTGAGTGGTCACAGTGACCTGGGCATGCCCAGAAGACGGTGGTTCTTGCAAGGCCTGGTGCTGGCTGTCAGGTGCCTGGAGGCAGATCTGCAGGAGGGGCAGGAAATTCCTCTGTCCACTTGGTGACACTAACTCAGAGGAGGAGCACCTGGAGCCAAGGGTGCAAGAGCCCCTGTGCCCTGTGTCCAGGGGGTTAGGGGCAGTCTTCCCCAAGGAGCCTTTGCTTTGGCAAAGAGATTCCATGAAGATGAGGGTGGGCCTAGAATATTCGTGCCGATGCAAAATGGAGCTGCACTATTCTGCCTTACCAAGTAAGGGGTACTGAGACCAGACGCAAGAGTGTTAGCTCTAAACCAGGCACTTCACCCTATTATTTCATTTAATTCTTGAAACCTACTCATGATAGAGCACCTGTTACTCCACATCCTGGCCAAGAGCTGTTATTCTTAGACTTTCCCTTTTCCCAGGTTAGTGGCATAAGATGGAAGCTGCCTTGGGTATTTCTCTAATAGCTACAGAGCTTGAACTCTTTTTGGAGCTTTTTTTTCTTTTGTTTCCTTCTTCCCTGAAATAATGGTACATTTGTATAAGGAGGTCACCCTGGCTTTTCTGATTACTGACTTATTTTCCTCTGGGTTGGTGGAGGAGTAAAGGGAAGGGGGGGGATGTTTCCAGACTTCAGGGAAGAAACGCATTGGACAGGGGCCTGTTCTGAGGGAGAAGCCTGGCAGTGTGTCCAGGGGCTCCGCTCGGGGGAGGCCCCCCCAGGAAGCTTGCTTGGGTGGACAGACTGGGAATGTGGGGAGGAGGGGGCTGCATCGCCGCACTCCTTGTCCAGCAGCGTGGCTCCTTCAGCACGGCTTTGCGAGCGCGTGTCGGAAGGCATGGAGAGGAGGTGGGCTGGCTGGAGCTGGTGTGAGAAAAGCCAGAGTAGGACTTCAGCGTTACCTGGGAGTGGTAGCAGTCCTGCCCCTTAGATTGCTGTACTTCTGGAGCATACAGAATGTCCTGCTGTCAAGGCACAGTGACCCCAGAGAGAGAGTTGTACCATGGAAGCATCAGGGTCAGAGCAGAACTTCTGTCAACCTCCCTATGACCGCCTGCCCGAGCTGCCCACCTTCTTCCCCACTTCCCAGCTAGGGCCTGGGTCCCTCAGGTGGGCCTGGACCTCTCTGGGTCCCAGGGAGGAACCAGCTGAGGCACAAGCAAAGGTGCTTGCCATGACTCTATTTATTTTTAGCCTACACCCTTTTGTAGAAATTGGGGTAGAATTCATATAATATAAAGTCAGTCACTTCACAGGCTACAGTTCAGTAACATGTAGCACATTCACACAACGCTGTGTGACCATCACTACTGTTTAGTGCTTAAACTTTTTTCTCTTTTAGGTAAACTACTGTTGGGGTAGCTTTCACTTCACAGCAAAAATAAGCAGACAGTAGGATTTTCATATAACCCCTACACCTCCACAGCCACCCAAAGTGTCACTGTCCCCCCAATCCAGAGTCCATAATCAGTGAACAAACGCTGCACCTAGAGTCCATAGTTAGCATTAGGCTTCACTCTTGGGGTTGTATAATCTGTGGGCCTGGACAAATATACAACGACATGGAGCTACCATTATGGTATTGTGTAGAGTGATCTCACTGCCCTAAAATTCCTCGTGCTCTGCCAATCCATCCCTTGTCTCCCCTACCCCAAAGCAACTACTGATCTTTTCACAATCTCCATAGATTTTCCTTCTTTAGAAGGTCACAGAGGTAGAATTATACAGAATTCAGCCTTTTCAGACTGGCTTCTTTCATTTAGTAATGTACAATTAACTTTTTGTGACTTCATAGATTATCTTCTTATAGCATTGAATAATATTCCATTGTCTGAGTAGTTTATTCACTGAAGGACTGAATAGTCAATGACCAGACAACACATAAAAATAAAACTGTGACTCAAAACCCACAGCCCTGGAAAAGAACTCTATTATCTATAATAAAAAGCCCAGGAAGCTAGGTTGCTGTCTCTAGTGACAGTCCAGGATGCTACACGACAGCTTCTGTAATAACCGCCCAAAATGGCCAGGGTTTGATTAGTAACTGACAGCCTCTCTAATTTTGTCTTGCTTCTAATTTTGGGCC